AATCACCATAGGTCCCACTAGATCACACCACTCATAGCACAGCCCCATGCCTAAATATGGAGTTATTTATCACTCCAACAAGGCGGCAGCATGCGCCATCTTTAGGGCACGGCACTGGCTCTCCACACCTTAGTGTGTAGCCAGTAGGGTCCCGAGAACAAAGAAGGCGGACTATGAGGTCGGTTACATAGCATGCAGTTAGGACAGTGGGAGTTAGGCAGCTGGGGAGCTGGGATGGAAGTCCATATAAGGAGGGAATGTGATATAGGCAGGGCCAGGAGAGCATAGCCCCACATATCAAGCCCTGCAAACCATAGGCACTGGTCCTATGCTGTCCACAGCAGGACTTTCTCTACAGAGAGATCCTTCCTGATTATCTTGGTGCTCTGTACCTCACTTGGGCCCAGAATCTCTCCAGATACTGTGACTAGTTTCACACAGCCCATGTGCTGCATAGGGTCAGTCAGGGCACCTCTCTCCCTCTTCACCTGCCTGGGCAGAGTTTTGAGAAAGCATCTTTTAAGAGAATAGCCCCACCTCACCAGTACTCTTCCACAAGAAAGCCTGCTGTACTCCAGGTTGAGCAGGAATGCATGCACAGTGACCCCTGGAGGACCAGTGGATTTATGAGAGGTTGTACTGTGCCAAACCACAAATGTGATCATAACCTCTTAATTTCTTCTCCTTTGAAAGGCACAGGCCTAACCACCTATTTACAAAACTGGATGAACATGGACTGTTTCCTCTGAATTCCATCTGATTCCTTCCCCAGGAGCTAGTAGAAAGAATATTAAAAGAACTGTCCCTTAAAAGTTAAATGTAATTCTGCTGCCACAGATTCTTCATGAAACTTGAGGTCTTTGGCATCTGACCAGTGGGAGAACCAAAACAGTTTTGATAACCTGGACAGCTATAGGGTATGCTAGTAGGTTTTTGTTTTTGTTTTCCAGAGGGTAGCCAAAAAATCTTCCCTTTCTACTGAAAGTACTAATTGCCATGTACATTTTTTGGTAAAGATGCTACTATAGAATATCTGTCAGCAAGGATTTTATAAACTGTTGGAATTTGGTTGGTTGGTTGTTATTGTTTTATTTTGTTTTGTTGTTACACGAATGTGTGTGTGCGTGTGTGTGTGTGTGTGTGACAAGAGACCGAGAGATACAGAAAGAGAACATGGAGAAAACCAGAATATTTATCTTATAACAGAAGTCGGTCATCTGTGTCCTAACAGTGCCTCCTGTGTAGAGGTAGATAGCAGGACAAAGCTAGACCAGCCTGCCTTCGTTCTCGGGAGTTCCACATCCTGGAGTCGGGGCACCTAACTAAGGATTGGGATGCAAGGGGTCAGGGCACAGAGGGCAGAGTAAGTGCTTATTCTCTGGGACTGTCCCACAGCCTCTGTGAAAGATCAGGGGAAGTTATAAAACAGTACACTCTCTGCCTGGGGGAGTCTGGAGAAGCATGGACATGGCAAGGAGCTCGGTGTGCAAGGATATGCCAAAGTTTGCCTGAAGCAAAGTGTCGAGAAAGGGGTCCAGAAAACGGGAACACCATGTGCACAAGCTGGAGCAGCTAGCAGGGAAGGCAGGTGAAGGGCTTGCAGTGGGGTGGCTCGTGGGCTCAGGCTGTGTGTGCTAGAGGGGAGTACCCGGGCACAGGGCTGGATAAGGAAAGCTGAGCCAAGGGACACAGGGCTTGGACTCTTCCGTTGATTGTTAGTGGGTATTTCAGAGCTACTTTGCTCTGAAGGAAACCAATATTCAGAATTGTCCTAACATGCTAGATCATCAAGATGTACTGGGCCCAGGGTCTAAGGTCGCTGTCCAAAGCCTTCCTTATTTCCACCTGCTGCTGCCTCTGCTGCACTGCCCTCAGCTGCTTAATGATCTTAAGACCTTGAACCCTTCTCTGTTCTTCATTTTATACATAAAATTTTAGCCCCATACTTGTTTATGAAAATAGATCAAGATTACTATTATAAAAAGCAAAAAAATATATTTATGTATAACATAATTTATAAATGAATAACTTGAGAGACGCCTTTGGGACAGTGCTGTTAACTGCTCTTCCTCCTTTATTTGGATTTCACCAGTTTTTCCTATCAGTGCTTTCTGTCTCGGGGTCCAGTCTAGGCCCAAGATACAATGACTTTGGTTTCATAAACACTAAAGTATGATGACCAAAGTAATGTTATAACTTGAAGTATGATACTTCCTTGAACATTGTCCAGTTAGAAACAACAACAAAAATAAATATTGAGTGCTGGACTAATTGTTGCGGCCAGTTTTCACAGAACATCTGGTGTCGTCATTTGACAGTGCAACCCAGAAAAACGTGTGGGCTTTGATCAGCCTCCATGTTAGCGTACCACAGACTGGGTAACTTCAACAGCAGACCTATATAGTTTTTCCCAGTTTCAGGTGCTAGCCAGTGTGATTCCCAGTGAAAACTCCCTGGCTCATTCGTTGCTGTGTCCTCACATGGCCTTACCTCTGCACCTACTTGGAGAGATGGACAGTGTGTTCTTTGTCCCCTCATCCTCTAAAATCAATTTTGTGTAACTAGGTCCCACCCTTATGACTTCATTTAACCTTAGTAATCACTTAATAACACTGTCTTCAAATACTGTTAAACCGGAGAGTACCGCTTCAATATATAAATGGTTAGGTACAATTCAGTTCACAGCATAGTTCAAAGGCTGAAATTATATGAAAATCTTTGTAACTTTGTCACAAAACAGTGTGTATGACACAGAAACTCTATAGTGTGTTGGTGTAGATGAAGATGCAGTGTTTTATAAAACACTTGACATACATGAAAATGTCATATGTTAGAACACATTTTAACTTATTACTAAAGCTAGTGGGGTACTGAGGCTATAGCTGACCTAGCATGCACAAAGCCCTGGGTTAAATTCCCAGCACAGCATAAACCAAGTATGGCCATGTACACCTGTAATCCTAACACTCAGAAGGTGGGGAATCAGAAGTTCAGAGCCTCTTCAGCAAAGCCATCCTTTGAGGCAAGCCTAGGCAACATAAGCAAATGAACAAAAAATAAAATAGCAAATAGTTTGCATCATTTGGGCTGATGGTATAAAAAAAATAGACAAGAAAAAGAGAAAATGTCAATAGCACTTTCATATAGAAGCTGTTACAAAAGTTCTCACGTAGTCATTGGGTGTAAAACTTCTAGAATACTGCCAAACAGCTATTAACTTTTGTTTCCAATATTGGCCATGCATCTTAAATTTCTTCCACATTAAGGGCATGCTTTCTGTGGAAACAGCACATCACTGAAACTTCACAAAGTGAGAGAAACCATGGAGATTGGTTTTGGTTTAACTAATAAAGAAATTTGCTAAATTTACATAAATATAGTTTAACAGCCCTCCCTTCCCAGTGAATTGAACCCAGCATAGGATTCAGTAGTATATGTCAAGTTAGGCCACAGTAAATATAGGAAAGAAATGGCTTTATAATGCTATTTCTATTTGGGAGAGAGAGTAGGTGGTAATATTATAATCAAGAAAGATATGGGAAAAGGAATAGATTTGAAAGCAGGAGAGAGAGAAGGCAAAGTATCTTGGTGGGGAGAGCAGGGAGAGATACTAATTTGTTTCTGGTATTATAAATAATATAAATAATATTCAGTGACAGCTATTTCTCATCATTTGAAGTATATTAAATACAAATTATTTTTGTAAAAAAAAAACAGGTCATATAATTAGATTTCTTATTGTTTATTTGATTGTTTACATAACCCTAGTGGCCTGAGCTCTCTAGGTAGACCAGGCTGGTCTCAAACCCACAGAGATCTATCTGTCTGCTTCTACTTCTGCCTTCTGAGTGCTAGTATTAGTGTGTGCCACCATAATCAGCAAGATCAGTTTATTATTTTGAGATTAAAATAATAAGTGAGAGAAATAATTCAGGCTTAAAACTGCAAAAATGGGGCTGACAAAAATGGCTCTCTGAATAATGTGCTTGCTGTCAAGCGTGATGATCTGAGTTCAATCTCTAGTACTTACATAGTAGAGAGAACTAATCCCTCTAAGTTGTCCCTGACCCCCACATATGTGCCATACTACACACACACACACACACACACACACACACACACACAAACATAAATAAATAGTGAAAATTTTGAAAATCCCGAAAAATGGGTGATTGGTTGGCCAGTGTTCATCTATAAATCTGAATTTATGAACTTCAATTGTAATAGTTATATTGTATTATTCTGTTTATACTCCAACATAATTTTGTAACTTATGGTATATTCAATTACTAAATTAAATAACTGGTTATTTTACCTTGATAAGATGTTATATTCAGACATTGAATTCTTAAGTATGTTATTCAGTCAGAACAGTTATATCACCAAACCTCCCCTATATTCTTTAAAAAATTTATTTTTATCTTATATATGAGTGTATATGAACTTTGTGCATGTCTGGTACCCACAAGGACCAGAAGAGGGCATCAAATCCCCTTGAACTGGGGTGAGCCACTATGTAGGTGCTAGGAACCAGACCTCTGCAAGAACAGTAAGTTCTCATAGCTGCTGAGCCATCTTTCCAGCCCCTTCCTCCTGTAGGCTCCAAATTTTCTGCAAATAACTCATAATCATTAATGTAGTACTGTATTTTATTACTTAGGGAATAATGACAAGGAAGAAAACTTGTATTCCCTGCAGATACAATTTTAAAAATGAAGAAACCTTTTTAGCCTTGGCAGAACCTAGGGATGCAGAGATTGGACTGTAACTACAAACAGTGACAGTGTTTGTTACTGTCTGATACTTTCCCTTCCTACTTCCCAGGCAGAGCTGAGACAATGTGTGTACTCTTTCTGCAGAGGCCATGAGGAGTAAGCCTGCTTCACGATCAGCTTACTCTGGAAGTTCACCAAAACTCTGCGTCTGGACTATGCCTGAATGCCTGAGACAGGCTCCTGCGGGTTAGACCAGGGTGCTCAGAAACTCTCCTCTGTTCACAGGTGGTCCCCATGCTTCCCAGGCTTCTGTGTGAGGAACTCTGCAGCCTCAACCCCATGACTGACAAGCTGACCTTCTCTGTGATCTGGAAGCTGACCCCTGAAGGCAAGGTAGTAACAAATTCTATTTTGTCGTTCATTCTCCACATCCACTGCCTCATCCCATGTATTGTGGGAAGCACCATGTGCCTGCACTAGACTGGAGTTCCATGGTGGATGGATGCAGAAGGTCTGGGGTAGCTGCTGTAAGAAAGAAATCTAAGGACCCTAGCTAGCCTCAGAAGAACCAGTCCTGCCTAGGAAGTAAGGCTGACCCTCCTCACTGCCAGTATTTACCGGCTAATAGAGGGCACTAGCTGTGAGGTGAGAGCCACGGGTGGACGATGGCTTCAGTGATGGTGCACGTACATCTGGAAGGCAGCTGTGAGGCAAGGCTGTGAATGAATAGTGGAGTTGATGTTCCTCTGACATGTCCTGAAGAAGACGGCCATAAAAGCTGCAATTTCCTTTGAGATGGCTGAAAATACGAAGCTTAGCAAAGATGAGTAGAGTAACAGTTGACTGAGAGCATGAGGTAAGGAAAACACAGGACTAGAGAGTATCTGCAAGCACTCCCTCTACACCAGCAGCAAAGGCTAGGAGTAAAGGCGACACTCGGGACAACCAGCTCCCCATCCAAAGTGAGCGACTACAAACGGCAGAGTCATACTTGAGGACCTAGGGCTTCCTCAGGCAGGTTCTGAAAAGCTGGTCGCAGACACCACAAAGGACCATGGGAAATATATATACTATGATAATAGGTGGGAGCCAAAAAGACTGAACTATAAAGAGGGTCCAAGTAAGGTGAAGAGACAACCATGTGGAAAGCATATTTCCTAAAATAAATACAGCAAAACACATATACAAGGAGAAGGAGCCCTCCTTGATAACCACTAGAGAATTTTAAACAGAAGCTATCTATGCTATGGTAGCTAACTTCAAAGGGCTGTATTTTTGAGGGGAAGGAGCTTGGAGATTTTAAAGATTAAAAACAGGATAGAAATAAATAGAGATTCATGATTCTGGTTTAAAATAAAGTTGAATATTCCAGAATGATCAAAGAAAAGAAAATTAGAGGATCAATCTGACACACACCCCTACCTGAGCCTGCTCTGTGCTGGTTCCAAAAACCAGAGCAGAGGAAATGGGAAGAAATGCTGAATGAAACCATTCACTTTTAAAGGATGTGGTTTTGCAGGTGCAGAAAGTTCACTGCAAACCCAGTGATGAGGACATGCCATCCCTAACGTACAAACCCTCATAAAGTCTCAGGATATGGGAGTCAAAGAAAGACCAGAGAGAGGCCTTAGGAAGGCCAAAGTAAGCCACACACACAATAGACCAGAAGGTAAACTGAGTTCAGACTCTTTTACTCCAGCCTCAGAAGCTTTGTGATAGTGCAGGGAAAACTTCTCCCTGTCTCAAAGGACAGGATCCCCATCAGATATACCCTGCTAAGCTATCAGTAAACTGTGAAAGTCAAAAAGCCTGTCTTCAGGTATGTGCAGTCTCAGAAACAAAGCAGCACTTACAAAGCCCTTCTTTGGGAAGCTTCATAAGGCCTCATGTTGGCTCTGTAATCATAGAAGCTGAGGCATGAAGCTCGTGAGCTGAAAGCCAGCCTGGGATACTCAGAACAACTGTTTCAGAGAGAACTAGAAATGAGAGAGGAAGCAGGAATGGGAGAGAGATAATAAAGAAATTAGAAGATGAAGAGAAAAGAGGAGTATAAGTAAGAAAGGTAAGAGGAAGGAAGCTGCTGGGTTAGGGAGATGGCTCTGTAGGTAAAAATGCCTGCCGTGCAGACATGAGGGCCTGAATTCAAATCCTCAGAAACCATGGAAAGCCAGGCATAATGGTGAGTGTTTGCTATCCCAGTGCTCCTACTTTGAGATGCAGGGCAGGGCAGAGCAAAGAGAATCCCTGGAAGCTCTGGGCCAACTGCCTTACACAGCACAGTAACAGACAATAGAAAGACCTGTCTCCATCTATACTAGAAGGTGGAAACTGAGTCCTGAGGTTGTCCTCTGGCCTTTGTATGTGCGCTGTGACAGGAGTGACCACATACACTCAAATACGTGTACATGCACATATGCATGTGCACACTACATGAGGTCATCAGAGTGGGACAGTGTACTAGTAAAGTTCAGGCCCATAAAAAGGGGGGAAAAGACACAGCGGAGAGCGTGCTGTCTCTTCCCTGACATGTGGAGGCTGCTGCTGAGCAGCTGCTGTGCTGGAGTTGTGGAAACAGACCTCACCAGGACTGGACTGGCTGGCACTTGATCTGGAACTTTTAGCCTTCAGAACTGTGGGAAGTAAATTTCTATGGCTTAAGCCACTTGGTTTGTGGTATTTTGTTATAGCAGCCCGGACAGACTAACACAGTATCAGATGAACTTTGTTAATCAGGTTACATAAAAATCTCCTGAGAGTAGAACTTTTACCCAGGCATGACTTTTTAATGTATACTGGCCATTTAGAAAGTACTGACTTAATATGCTGACCTCTAACTGTGGGCACATTTCAATATATAGCATCTTAAAAACCACATTGTTAGTGTCATTGTTATTCTTACTAGCCCAACCTTTTCAGTATTAGGAAACCCACAAGCTCATGTATCAGATGCAAGGTTTCTAGAATTTTGCAAAAGTTCAACTTGTATCATGAGTGATGAGCAATGTCAGTTGTTTCCTTGAAATACTAAATACCCAAGTCGAAATAACTGTGTTTTCAATGTCAGCTGTTCCTTGAGATAAAAATGGTATTTTTGAAAGGATACTATTTATCAGTTCAGTTCACAGCTAGCTATGTACATACTTTTCCTCTAAAGGCCATCCTCCTGCCTCATGAAGAATAAGTACTTGCGGTTGAAACATAGAAAAGTAATGGATTTTGATTGTATCGTGAGAACATTCTAGCTCTCTCTTTCCTGCCAGCGTGTGGTAGGGGAGTAGTGTGACCACTGTGTCCCCTGCAGGTGAAATGTTTTACCTGCCAGGGCTTCCAGACCACTGTTACAAATGGCAGTATACAGAGTTGGCTGTATAATGCCCTGGATTATGGCCAAAAACATTTTGGACCACATAGGCCCCTGAATGGGGCTCAGGGGCCCCCAAAAGTCCATGAGCCATATTTTGGAGATGAACTCCTGTTTGATCAAGCAAACCAAAACAAGACAAATATGAATCTGTTGAAGGAAAAGGCTGCACAGGGAATACAGTGACACTTCCTCTTTCTATCGCCACAGAAGTGCCTTGATACAGGGAGTTCGAATAGTTCTGAGACAGCTGCAGCCTGGGCTGCATAGTGAGCACTAGGTCAGTCAGGGCTACATAGCAAGACCCTGTCTAATAATAATAATAATAACAAAAAATTGTGTTAGAATGATATGTACTTTAGTTAGAAAAAAATTCAAGTATATGTAGTGTGAGGAAGACATCACAATAAGCCCCCATCCCTGTTTCACAGATTCAGTACTGTTAAGAGTCTCACAGGGCGGTGGTGGCACATGCCTTTAATCCCAGCACTTGGGAGGCAGAGGCAGGCGGATTTCTGAGTTCGAGGCCAGCCTGGTCTACAGAGTGAGTTCCAGGACAGCCAGGGCTACACAGAGAAACCCTGTCTCGGAAAACCAAAAAAAAAAAAAAAAAAAAAAAAAAGAGTTCATTCTCTGTTAAGACTATAGTATTTTTAAAACAAACCACAGACATGTCATTTTACTCATGTGTGTTTTGATATGTGACTAAATATCTGGGCATTCTCTTATGTAACCACACTGTCCTCAGCACACCTAACAGTGAGGGCTGTATCCGGATGCCATCCAAAACCTAGTTCGTAATACATTTCCTTGGTTCTCGCCAATCAATTGGTCCAAATTGGGATCAAATAAAGCTACACACATTACATTTGGTTTTTATAGCTCTTAATTATCTGGTAAAACGTTCCTTTTCAAACTCTAAGAGGCAAACATTATCTGAACTACAGAGAGGGAGCTATGAGTGCAGGGTGCCAGCAGCCATAATCTGGTGGATGTGGGAGCAGGCTTAGGGGTGGTGAATGGAAAAAGACCAGAAGGAAATAACACAAAATGCCAGCAGTGGCTGTATTTTGGATAGTAAAACTGTGAGTAATTTTTTCTATTTTTTCTATCTTCTAATGTTTTGTAAAAATATGAATAACTTTTATATTTTTATAAATACTTATTTTTTAAATAACTAAAAAATGACTAAATAGAAAAGAAAAGCCCATAGAATCATCCTACCTCAAGTCAAAAGCAAAGAAAACCGTATCTAAATTATGCTGCCAGGGGAAGACCTGAGAAATTAAAGCTGCCTAGTCTGATGTGCTTCTAGAATATGGGGGTCATAAAAGAAACACTAGGAAAATGTGAACTCCAACACTCACTGGCCTTTGGAGTTTCTTTTGGAAGCAGTATATGGAGCCCAGGCCTTCTGCTCAATGAGGGCTAGAAGACAGGTGTAAAAGAGGCACAGGTCTGCGAGGGTGCTGGGCCTCCCTCCAAACCACACCAGATAGGAAGTATGAGGGTTAGAACTGCAGACAGGGTTGTAGGGCAAGGCCCACTGACCACACTCTTCATTCTGTGCTTACCCAGACCCAGTGACAGCATCAGAGATGGATCAGTTGTAAGCCTGGGGATGTGGTGACATCTCTCCCTCACAGTCAAGATGCCCATAATGAAAAGTTCAATACCACACTGTAGGTCCAAGGGCTGATAGTCCAGGACACTAGACTGGAAAGCCTGAACTAAAAGCTTGAGACCAGGTAGGAGGTCAGGTTGCCATGGAAGGTCCCAGAAGCAAGAGCCCAGGTGAATGAAGAGGAACAAATCCGAAGCTTGTGTGGATGAAGCCCCAGACTGAGTTTGCAGGTTGTGAGGGCTTCTCTTGGTATAGGGGTATAAGGTTGGAAGGGGTGGTACTGGAGTGGACAAAGCTTTGCAGTCTTCCTTAGACTACTATAATATCCTGCTTCCTAAGGCAGGCATGGTCTGCCATGAGAAGGCTGCCCCAATGTATTTTATGATTGTTATTGTTTTTCTAATATGA